TGGGGGAATGGTCCTGCTATTGTGGGGAACTTTCCTGGCTTCTGCACGACCCTGGTGAAATGGGCTAGTGGAAGGATCTGAGTCCTCGCTCCCACTTCCTTTACCCAGAGGCCTCCCTCCCTCGAGGGCTCCCCTTCCACTCTCCTGTCTGGCAGAGTCCTCGTAACCCCAACAAGGCTGGGCCCAGGATTCCTGGGGGGCTCGACCCACAGCCTTGCTGTGGTCGCCTGGGACAGGGGCGAGGGTGTCCCCACTCTGGGGTACTCTCTCTGCACCGGATGCTTCCCTGACCCACTGATCATTATATACGATTTAAAGCAATACAGTTTATTTAATTAACAATTAGTTTAAATAGGAATAAGGAAAAATGGGAAAGGTTAAAGGAAACCCATCACCCTGCTCTGTGACAGGGAACATCACAACCAGTGTCTCTGGAACGTCCGGGCAGTTCACAGTCTGTTCCTTGTAGGTCCCAGGTCTCCTGCTGAGGCCCTGGCTGTGCTGCAGAGACGCTGTGGGTCGGACACTTGCTCTGGCGGTGGCCACACGCTCTCAGGCTCTAGGTGTCAGGACCCTTTTTCCCAGCGTCGCCCCTGCCCGGTCGGGGTTACAATCCCCCTCCGAGTCTGGCCTGCCAGGCCTCTTGGCTGGGGGCGTCTCCCTGTGCTGGGCCTGCTGCCCAGGGTCGCCCTCACTCTCCCCAGCTGCTCAGCATACCTGGCTCCGGACTGCTCCAGCCCCGGCTCCAGCTCCACTCTGCCTCAGCACGGCTGCTGCTGCTGCTCTGCCTCCAGCTCCCTGGGCTGCTTCTCTGGCTCTGGTTGCGGCAGGTCTCCTCCCAGGGCAGGTCTGCTCTCTCTGGGCTGTGCTCTGGCTTTGGGGCTGCAGCTCTGCTCCCCAGCTCAGCTGGGGCCCCTGCTGTCTCCTTAGCTCGGCCCCACTCTGTCTGCCCCAGGCAATTCCAGCTCACACGGGACGGGACCCCCCCGGCCTCCTGACTCCCTGATTAGCCTGCCCGGCCTGTCAATCAGGCTGACCTGGAGCGTTGGCCTCTCCCCATTGCCCCTGGGGACTGTCAGTCTCAGGGTCCTGATTTCCCATCGACCCTCCCCCTTTTGGTACTGGGAGCTAGCAACCAAAACACCCCCAGTGAATGTTAGTAAGGGGATAACAGCCCCCTTACACAGATCCCCCAAAGGGATGATCCTGTCAGAGCTCTGCTCCCTCCCACACCCAGAGGTGGGGTCTGAGACCTCGCCCCACTCATTACAGGGATGGGCACCACACAGGGCGAATTCACCTGCACTCAAAGCTCTGCCCCCCAGAAATACAGACTCAGGGCACCCGCTAGTGCTCAGCGCCCCCGCACTGTGCCCGGGGAGCTGGCTGTAGCCCGGGAAACGGGTCAGGCAGAGCAGGTCTGTAAGACGTGGACACGCAGAGGAACTGGAGCAAGGTCCCATTGTGTCTCACCCTCGGCTTGCTGCACACGCGTGTGTCACTGCTTTGCTCGTGGGTCAGGCTCAGCATTCGGAACGTTCCCTGAACAGCTTTGGAAATATCCCATCCCCAAAGGGGCCGCTGGCACCGTGCAGAGCGGAGCTAAATCCCCAGCGACTGAGAGCGGTTTGGGCCAGAGCAGAGTGAGAGTTTGAGCCCCAGGGGTCGGCAGGAAAATGTTAGAACAACTGGGGGATTTTGTAAACACATGTTTTTTTGGGGGGAGCACCTGTCCTGGGCGCCGCTTGCTCAAAGGACCCGAATTTGGACCAGGAACCCCACTGGGTAAATCCCAATTCACCCCCTGAGTGCAGTGGGGGCAGGGCTGGGTTCTGATCTCAGCTCCCCCAGGGTCAATCCGGAGTCACCCCGACTACAGTGGGGGCAGGGCTGAATTGACCCTGAAGAACAGAAGGAATCCAAGACTGGAAATCTCCTTCTCACCTCCTGTGTCTCACCCCGGCTGTGAGCCGAGGGCCGGGCCTGCACCCCAGGGACAGGCGGGGGGTGAAACGCTGGAGCGACAGATGGGCAGAGGATTGAATCAGATGGACATGGTTTGTGTCACCCCCACTTACTGCCTGTTTCTTTGTGAATCCAGAGGGGTCCTACCCCAAACCCTCCAGCTCCGTCAGCCCCGGTGGGGTGATCCCCACTGGGGGAAACGTCACCATCCGGTGTTGGCATCAGCTCCTGGACATGAGGAGCCTCCTCTACAAGGCTGGAGATGGGAACTATCTGACTTACACAGACCCTGCTGGCTCTGAGGCTGAATTTCCCATCACCAGCGCCAGACGGGAACATGGGGGCAGCTACACCTGTCGTTATAGCAACAGAACAGGAGAAGTTGCCTACGCGGAGCCCAGCGACCCTGTGCAGATCATTGTAGCAGGTGAGGGGCCCAGCCCGGCACCTCGGCTCCCAGCCCCACACCCAGCCAGGCCCCAGGGGGTCTCCGCGAGCCCTGGAATCCAGCAGAGGGGACACTCGGCCGGGAACGGTGACAGAGTCACTGGGGGGTTCCCCAGCTGGGGGAAGCCACAGCTGCTGGATATTTGGGGCTGAGGGGGGATCCTGCCCCCAGATGGCTGTCCCTGCTCTGGGGACGTACAGAGGAGTCTGGGCCAAGGGGCTGCCAAGCTGGCTCTGGCCCCAGCCACACACACCCTGCCCTGCCACTCCCCAGGAATAGCAATGACGATCGATGCTGAGTTGGGCAGGGGTGTGTGATCGCTGAGTCGCTGTTTCAGCCCCTCCACCTGCCCCGACAGATGCTGGTTCTATTCCCAGAGGGGGAACCGACCCGACCCAGCCTAATCTTGCATGGCTAAATGCCAAAATTGCTGTACTATGAACAATGTTAATAGCTACATTGACTTGATGTTAACTGGGTTCCAAACATTTGCCAGAGCTTGTATGAACAAAGTAGCTGTTTTCTTTAGCTCTTGGCAAGGTCACTTGAGACATACAGGAACCATAATGCAAAAGCAGATCCAATCCACTATTGTTCTAACTAAGTTTTACCTTAAGTTTGTAAAGAGATTCAATCGTGTTACTGAACATGACTTTAATAAACCATTTCTGTTATACACTGGTATGGCTTCTAACCCAATACTAGCTGTAGTGAGACAGACCCAAGGATGGGGAGCTCTTGGGATGCAGTTAGTGATGTTTCTGTCATCCCTTCCTGCATCAATTTTGCGTTGGGGGTGTCACGTTATTGATTTGAACTGGGACCATATAGAACATGGTTGCAACCAAAGTCGTGTAGTGGCACCAAATCTTGTATAAAGGGGGTCAAATGAGGTGTCTAAGACAAGATTATGGTTTACTGGTTATAATTATGCTGTCTATATGTGTGTATCAATTTTGTAGTTGAAGTTATGAATATTGGCTCTATACTGCATATATTTCAAATTTATGCTATGTTTCTGGAAAACTTCCCCTACAAGTTGGTGTTAGCTCTGCCTAGCCTGCTTGATGGCCCATGAAGGACCATCAGCTATACAACTGACCCACTGAGAGAAGGCAAATACACTTTGGGTATGTCTACACTACGAGGGTAATTCGATTTTACTTAAATCGAATATGTGGAATCGATATTGCAAAGTCGAACGTGTGTGTCCACACTAAGGACACACTAAGGACAGTAATTCGACTTTGTGAGTCCACACTAACGGGGCGAGCGTCGATATTGGAAGCGGTGCACTGTGGGCAGCTATCCCACAGTTCCCGCAGTCCCCGCTGCCCATCGGAATTCTGGGTCGAGCCGCCAATGCCTTCTGGGTAAAAAAAATTTGTCGTCATCCGTCCGTCACTAACGCCCTCCCTCCCTCCATGAAAGCGCCGGCGGGAAATCAGTTCGCGCACTTTTCTGGTCAGTGACAGCGCGGACGCCACAGCACTGCGATCATGGATCACGCTGCGACCATCGCTGCACTTGTGGCCGTTCTCAACACCTCGCAGCTTATCATACACCTTTCCCTGAGGCAGATGCAGAGAAATCGGGCGAGGAGGCTACGGCACCGCCGTGAGAGCCTGAAGTCGGAGAGTGGCACAGAGCTGTCAGAAACCACGAGCCCCAGCGCCCAGGACATCACGGTGGCAATGGGGCATGTGGATTTTGTTGAACGGCGATTCTGGGCCCGGGAAACAAGCACGGACTGGTGGGACCGCATAGTGCTTCAGGTCTGGGATGAATCCCAGTGGCTGCGAAACTTTCGCATGCGGAAGGGGACTTTCCTCGAACTTTGTGAGTTGCTGTCCCCTGCCCTGAAGCGCAAGGACACCCGCATGCGAGCAGCCCTCACTGTCCAGAAGCGAGTGGCCATAGCCCTCTGGAAGCTTGCAACGCCGGACAGCTACCGGTCAGTCGCGAACCACTTTGGTGTGGGCAAATCTACCGTGGGGGTTGTTGTCATGCAAGTAGCCAAGGCAATCGTCAAGGTACTGCTCCCAAAGGTAGTGACCCTGGGAAACGCGCAGGTCATCATAGATGGCTTTGCCGCGATGGGATTCCCAAACTGCGGTGGGGCTATAGATGGGACTCACATCCCTATCCTGGGACCGGACCACCAGGCCAGCCAGTACATCAATAGAAAGGGCTACTTTTCAATGGTGCTGCAAGCACTGGTGGACCATCGGGGACGGTTTACAAACATCTACGTCGGATGGCCGGGCAAGGTTCATGACGCTCGCGTGTTCAGGAACTCTGGTCTGTTTAGACGGCTGCAGGAAGGTATTTACTTCCCAGACCACAAAATAACTCTTGGGGATGTGGAGATGCCTACAGTCATCCTCGGGGACCCAGCCTACCCGCTAATGCCCTGGCTCATGAAGCCCTATACTGGCGCCCTGGACACAGAAAAAGAACTGTTCAACTACCGTCTGAGCAAGTGCAGAATGGTGGTGGAGTGTGCTTTTGGCCGTCTCAAAGGGAGATGGAGAAGCTTACTCACTCGCTGTGATCTCAGTGAAACCAATATCCCCATCGTTATTGCAGCTTGCTGTGTGCTCCACAATCTGTGTGAGAGCAAGGGGGAGACCTTTATGGCGGGGTGGGAGCTAGAGGCAAATAGCCTGGCTGCTGATTACGTCCAGCCAGACAGCCGGGCCATTAGAAGATCCCAGCGGGACGCCCTGTGCATCCGGGAGGCTTTGAAAGCTAGGTTCCTGAGTGAGCAGGGCAACCAGTGACTTTTCAGTTTGTGGACAGAAAAGCTGAACCTGCCCCCGTTTCTTTACCCAGTCCATTTTGACTATCCTCTCCAGTTACATACAACCTTCACCCCCTTCCCCTTCCCAAAAAATAAAATCATTTCGATTTTTTAATGAACACCGTTGTCTGTATTGCTGTTTTCGCGGGAATATTTTAAACCGGGGACGCAGACTGTGGCGGGGGGCGGGTTTAGTGTTCTGATGCAAATGATGCTTCTAAACTCCCGGAATGACAGGCTCCGCACTGGTGGACTGGTTATTTCAATGGAGCCTGCCAGCACTCCTGGGGGGGACTGTGTGTATGTGTCGGCTATGTGACTTTCTGGCAGGGGGGGTAGGGTTACAGATCCCCTGCTGCGTGGATCTGTGAGCCAGGATAAGGACCGCTGCATAAGATCTGTAACTGCCCTCCCCCGCCACAAAGTCACAGAGCAACCCCCCCCCCCCCC